AGACGAGCTATAATCAAAAGAAAGAAGTAGACTTTGAGGAGATTTTTTCTCCTGCGGTGAAAATGACCTCGATCTGAACCGTGTTAGCCATGGCGGCTTCAATGGACCTTGGTCTGAACCGTGTTAGCCATGGCGGCTTCGATGGACCTCGAGGTAGAACAAATGGATGTGAAGGCGACATTTCTTCATGGTGACTTAGAAGAAGAAATATATATGGAGCAACCTGAGGGGTTCCGTGCTCCAGACCAAGAAGACTTGGTATGTCGATTGAAGAAGAGCCTCTATGGCTTGAAGTGGTACAAGAAGAGCCTCGGCAGTGGTACAAGCAGTTTGAATCATTCATGACTGATCACAAGTTTGAGAAGACAGAAGCTGACCACTGCATATTTGTGAAGAGGTATGAGGCCGAAGATTTTTTGATTTTGTTGTTATATGTTGACGACATGCTTATTATAGGGAAAGACAAATCGAAGATAACCGCTCTCAAGAAGGCGTTGAGCTCGTCCTTCGCAATGAAGGACCTCGGCCTTACAAAACAGATTCTCAGAATCAAGATTATCCGAGATAGACAAAAGAAGCTACTGTGGCTGAGTTAAGACAAGTATATTGAGAAGATTTTGAAGAGATTCAGCATGGACAAAGCCAAAACAGTGAGCACCCCCTAGCCGAACACATAAAGTTGAACCAGAAGCAATGTCCGAGATCTGATGAAGACAAAGATGAGATGCTGAAGATCCCATACCAATCCACCGTCGGAAGCTTGATGTATGCAATGGTTTGCACTAGACCCGACTTGGCGTATGCTGTTGGAATGGTAAGTCGATATCTGTCAAACCCCGGCAAAGAGAACTGGTAATCAGTGAAGTGGATCTTCAAGTACCTCTGAGGTACGACCAACTTATGCCTCCAATTTGGAGAAGGCAAAGCCGAGTTGCAAGTCTACTCGGATGCTGATTTAGGGGGAGATTCCGACTCGAGGAAGTCGACGATGGGATACATGATGAGATTTGTTGGAGGAGCTGTCTCATGGAAATCAAGATTTCAGAAGTGTGTTGCACTATCGACAACCGAGGGGGAGTACATTTCCGCTACTGAGGCAAGCAAAGAGATGTTGTGGATGAAGAAGTTCCTCATGGAACTCGGCCATGATCAAGACAAGTACGAGCTGGGTTGTGACAATCAAAGCGCAATACATCTTGCGAAGAATTCGACCTATCACTCCCGCACTAAGCATATTGATGTGAGGTATCACTGGATTCGGGATGTGGTGAAAGGTGGAGAGCTCAAACTCGTCAAGGTGCACACTGACCAAAATTGGTTCGACATGATGATAATGCCAGTTCCAACAAGAAAATTTGAAGACTGTTGTGAAGGAGCTGGGTTGATATTGAAGCCGACGCATTGAAGTCGAAGGGGGAGATTTGTTGGGCTTCCTCCTTCAATGCTAAGCCCAAGCATATTGAGGGGTTTCCTAAAAACCCTAAACCTTAAATTCTAGATTCCACCTCCTCTATATATTCATCAGTTGTGGGTGGAGGCTAGGTTAGAGAAAGAGATTTGAGAGATTTGTGAGCAAAACTTTAAGCTTTGTATTTGAGAGATCTCTAGAGAGAGTTTGAGTGAAACATCTCTAGGGTAGTTTGATCTCACCATTGTTGGAGAGGTTATGTTAACCACCACATTGGTGTATTTTGATTCTTTGTATCCATTATTTTCATAGTGGACGTTTGATCTGGACTAGGTCCCGTAGGTTTTTACTTCTTCATTGGAGAAAGTTTTCCCACTTTAAAAACTGTTTGTGTTCTCTTTCTCTCTCTCTCCTTTGTTTTTTTCCCCCTACGCTGCCCGACCTGGTGAAGTTCAAGTCGAGGTAAGATTGCCGGGATCCGAGATCCATGATCTTGTTGACTGACTTACACAAAAAGGTTGCTTAGCCGAGTTGAGGGAACCGAGTTCCCAACAAAAGGTGGGGTCCACTTGGAAAGCAAGAAGAAAATGATGCTATAAAGCTTGACTGGACGCGGGAATTAGCATCTTTTGTCACTTTTATTTTTCAACTTTGGAATCACTTTTTGGATAATTGTATGAGAGTGAAAAACACTGCTGCATTCTCTTTTGCAAGTAGCTTTGTAATTCGAACATTTTTCTCTGTAGATTGTCTCTATAGTTCTTTTTCGTTCAGCTTATCTACTTTAGAGTTGAAGCTTTCTTAGATCGGACTTTAGAGTTATGAAGAATGCACTTCAGATTTAGAAATTCTCCTCCTTCTATTCATCTTTTAGTTTTGGATCTCAGATCTCTGTTTATTTTTCATTAGTGTTCTAAATTTAGTTTCAAATTGTTGTGAACATTTGGTAAGATCTATATAGAAAACATGAATGTATATCTGAATATTAATCTCAAAAATATGGAAAGCTAAACTACTTTTTCAGATCTGGAATCTATGAAAATTACCTTTAAGTTGTAATTAAGCTTTGTTGCAGAACTTAAGTTGATTTATCTAAGATGAACCAATTTAAACTCACTTAGATTTGGCCAATTTAATTGGTTAATTAGGTTTAATTATTGGAAAATAGTAAATCAGATCAATCCTAGACATTACTCAGTTAGTTTAGGAATAATTAGCTGTATAGAGCATAGATCCGGGACGTTCATGACATTTAGGAGTGACTTTGGGAGTAGGAATACCTCAGATCATAATTGAACTCAGTTTATGATGCTGGAAGGTGCAAAACCGCTGTAGCAGATTAGTTAATCAATGAAGGTTCTATAGCAGGTTTTGGAAAATAAGAGAAAAACAAGGTAATTGGATTAGCTTTCAGATCTGAAGTCTTTAATCAGTAATTACAAGTTTTAAAAAATCAGTTGCCTAGTTTTTTAGCTTAATTGCTTGTACTTTCATTTTACGTCATGCTATTTCAATTGATTTTTAGAAAATTAATCAAGTGTATAATTGTATAAATCCTCGAGGAAACGATTTTTTAAACTCACATATTATATTACTTGCTGATTGTGTATTGCACGTAAGGTAGTTCTCTTTCTTCACTTTTCATATTCATATATTGGAGATTTACAAATCTGAGGACTGATACTGCATTGGTGATGTTGAGTGTTCTAACCTGTGCACACTAAGAGTGGAGTGCAAACACTAATCATGAGAGGTATTCATTGGTAGGAATCTATAGTATTCTAAGCTAGGACCTGCGTTGCATTTAACTGACATGATACATTGATGGTTTGTTTAATTTGAATTTGGTTATCTTGGATTAGAAGTTGAATAAGGAAAGAGCTGATTTCATTGATAATATGCATACGATGGCTGCACTATTCTGATGGGTTGTAGGATACTTGAATTTGGTGAGATTAAGATTTAGGCTTGTTTATTGATGGCTGAAAAAGAGGGGTTGACATTTGCTTGTAAATATTCATTGGTTGAACTGAAACTCTGACCGTGCATACTTGCACGTAAGGTAAATCTCTACCTTCACTAGGTTTTGGCAAAAATGAGTTAACCCATTGGGTTGGCTCGTAACCCGACTAAAATGGGTCGTGTTGGGTTAGGGAAAATGAGTTAGTAACTCGAGTCAGCCCGACTCGTTTCAGTTCGAAAAAAACCGAGTCAACCCACGGGTCAAACGGATTGGCTCGCGGGTTATGGTTTTTTTTTTTTTTTAATATAAAAGTATAAAAATTAATGAAGGTAAAGTGAAAAACTAAAATCTAAAATCCCAATTCCAAAGACCCAAACGAAAATACCCTGCAGCTGCCAATAGTCCAAAACCATGCATTAAGGACCTTTTTTATAGCATGTATGACAGTGTAAATGTGGTGCCAACTGCCAATAATTCCAAGTCCAAATGCAAAAGGAATTTTCTATGATTTATCTGTATAATGCCTTTGTATTGAATGAAATAATAATTTAGGAAAAAAATTTAAAAGTTATAGCATCAATGAAACTTTGAGGCATTTTGGATTTTTTTTATTAGGGAGGATGTTCTTCACATGAGGCAAACTTCATGTTTGTAGGAATCATAATCAGAAGCTTTGGTCTCATTTGAGCTTTTATTCTTTCTGTATTCTTGAATCATGCCATCATCTAATCTTTGTGAGACCTCTTTCGTTATTGGCGATGCCATCATCTAATTTTTTATTCATTTTTTTTAAAATTTATAGATTTTAATAACAAAATTAGACACAATTAAATTAATTTTTATTAAGTTTATATGCCAAGAAACTCGCCAATTAATTTTTTTTACAATATTTAAAGATTTATTCATAGAATTATTTTCGCTTAAAATTAGATATTGAACACGCAAATTACTTTTGGGATAAGAAAACCGAATTGAAACTGCCCTTACCTTTTGACCTACAAAGTGCCCAAGGTAAATGCAATGACGACCTTGGCCCCAATCACAGACAGTCTAAAACCGAGGTCAATGCAATGAGGTGGGTCCCACAATGTTTTATGTAGAGACATAATTAAATGAGTCTCACAATTGAAAAAAAAAAAGAAAAAAAGAAAAGAAACGATGACTCGGATTTCGATGAGTGCGTAACACGATAACATAAGAAAAACATTTCCATAAATTATTTGAAGTCTTGTACCAAAAAAAAAATAATAATTTATTTGAAGTCTTTGCTGTGTAAACCTTCAACTTTTAAGTATTTAAAATGTTCCAACACTTTGAATACACAGCAAAAACATGTATACGTTAAATATTCAAAATCTCACCTCAGCAGCCAAAAAAAAAATATATATTTAAACATTTTGAAAACTCAGATTATGTAACAATTGCACCATTCACAAATCCTAACTCAGTAACCTATTGGGCAAGAGGCTCAATTCAATATGATTAAATCCAAGAACAGGTTAGGTTTAATTAACTTGGAAAGCATATATGTTTATTTCTTCTTTTTTGGTATGAAATTATATGATCCGACTCCAGTTTAATTAGAAGAAAATGATTATGAGAAAGCAAGTAGTAACAAATTGAAATGGCTTCGATTTATCGTTAAAGATCAACTGTTCAACAATTGCCAATGCTAAAACAAAACAAATGAAAGAATTAACTCTGCCATCAAACTCCACTTTCACTGTTCTAACAACACATAAATATTTCTTTAAAAAAATCATCAATCGTTGCAAGGTGCTATTGTATTGCCAAACGAGGACACCTACCTCCACCAAGCCATTCTGCAGCATTTAAAAGCATTTCCTGTGTACAATTGAAGGACCAGACTCATCATACTCTGCCTTCGCAATCCACATCTGCATTAACAAAAGTAAGTGTCTTATCATTAGTATCCCTAATAAATCGATAAAAGCTAAAAGTTGTTTTCTGATTACATAAAATTTTTAGCTTAAAAGTTACTTAAAAATACATGTTTCAAGAAAAATATCTCTCTTTATCTCTATGGCTCTTCAATTCCAAAAAAGCACACAATTCAAAAAAAGTTGATAAGAGCTTAAAATAAAAAAAAAAACTCCTTCTAGGAACTTTTGGTTGTTGACTTTTTTCTTTATTGTATAAAAAAGAGTTTTTCATTATAAGAGTTTTTTTCAAAACCTGTTTGATGTATCTTCTGTTTATAAAGAGAAAAGAAACTAAAAATTAGAGGATCCAAACAGACACTAAGGTGTGCACAAATGCGAGTGGATCCAAAAATAAGTGTCTATCCCTAATAAAGTGCATGGGGGCATCACCAATATGGATTTATTAGTTCTGCAACACAAATTACTTCAGTCATTAGAATCACTACAGCACATTTACCTGTTGGAAAGTGCTGAGAGAAGCCAAGATAGAGCCACCAATCCAGACACTGTACTTTCTCTCAGGTGGAGCAACCACCTTGATCTTCATGCTGCTTGGGGCCAAAGCAGTGATTTCCTTGCTCATTCTGTCAGCAATACCAGGGAACATGGTAGAACCACCACTGAGGACTATGTTTCCATACAAGTCCTTTCTGATATCAACATCACACTTCATAATTGAATTGTATGTGGTCTCATGAATACCAACAGCTTCCATTCCAATCATGGATGGCTGGAAGAGGACTTCAGGACAACGGAAACGCTCAGCACCAATGGTGATGACTTGTCCATCAGGTAGCTCATAGCTCTTCTCAACGGCAGAGCTAGTTTTTGCAGTTTCAAGCTCTTGCTCATAATCAAGGGCAATATAAGCCAGCTTTTCCTTAACATCCCTTACAATTTCGCGCTCGGCTGTGGTAGTGAAGGAATAACCACGCTCAGTAAGGATTTTCATCAAGGCATCAGTGAGGTCACGCCCAGCTAAGTCAAGACGGAGAATGGCATGTGGGAGGGCATACCCCTCATAAATGGGTACAGTGTGGCTGACACCATCTCCAGAGTCCAAAACAATACCTGCACAAATTAATTTAACAAGCATAACGAAAACCAGCCAAGTTAGACAACCTCAAACTGATCAGATAAAATTGCCAGAGACAAAACCGAAGTTTTTTAATTTTGAACTTAGCTAGACTTCACTTTCCATATCTATTCCATATTTCCATTAGTAAACTGAACCTTTTAGAGCATTGGTTGTTTTTAATAGCCAGCAAAACATTCTTAGAATGTAGACTAAATGCAAGATAATATTTTTCTTAAACAAGAAAATGACTAACCAGTTGTACGACCGCTGGCATATAGGGATAGAACAGCCTGAATGGCAACATACATAGCAGGTGTATTGAAGGTCTCAAACATAATTTGTGTCATTTTCTCACGATTAGCCTTTGGGTTGAGGGGTGCTTCAGTGAGCAGAACTGGGTGCTCCTCTGGGGCCACACGGAGTTCATTGTAGAAGGTGTGATGCCAGATCTTCTCCATGTCATCCCAATTACTCACAATACCATGTTCAATGGGATATTTCAAAGTTAATATACCACGCTTGGACTGAGCTTCATCACCAACATATGCATCTTTTTGGCCCATGCCAACCATCACACCAGTGTGACGTGGACGACCAACAATGCTAGGAAACACAGCCCTTGGAGCATCATCTCCAGCAAATCCAGCCTAAAAGTTGCAAATTGCAATGCAGTAGAAATTGAAAGGCACCATGCACATGTATGAGACAAACAGCAAGCAGAAGATAATTTACTAGCCAATGACTTTTGCAAGCAAAAATTTTGGAAATAAAATCATCCTTGTATTTTACCTTAACCATTCCTGTCCCATTATCACAGACAAGTGGCTGAATATCCTCAGTGTCTGCCATTGTATTTCAAAAGCTGCACAAAGCATAACATTTCCACTCAGAACATTGTTTGACATGAGCAGGTGTAAAGAAAAAACAACTTTAATATATATATATATATATATATATATATATATATACAATGCTTGGAGTCTTGGACATTCTAAATCAACCACATATTGATCATACCCACAACTCAAAACGCTTGCTGGAATAATGCCTTGTTTTTTCTTACTTAATTCTACCACAATGTGAGAAGAATCAAATTCGTGACCTCTTGATCATTTTCAACACAAAAAATCTTAAGGTATTATTAGGTAAGAATATATTAATGATTTTGTATGTTTTGTATTTCTCAAACACAAACTAAAGATGTCTAAATACAATGTTTGGCACAAGGCATTCACAACATCATTATCTAAAACTCTTCAAACATATGTTTTTACAAATACGGTATACGTATTGATCCATACGAGACAAAGAGAAGTTAACAAACCCGAAATGGCGCGTCAAGGAGAGGATTGATTTTCCGATCTCAGCTGGTTCAAAGCAAAAAAATTATAGAGGAGAGAACAACGCCCAAATGAAAACTCAAATTTCAATGTGTTTCGGTTTTTTAAATGAAGCCCATCACGTCCACGACATCCCCTCAACAACGTCCAATTCTATGAACGACATTCATGTTGTTCGTCACGCGTGTCCTTTCGATATGTGGCTCCGCAGACACACCCTGTCGTGCGCTGAAACGTCGAATCTGCTCCACTGCTTTTTATAGTTTGGCCCATTTTCAGCACTACCACTACTTCTTCTTCTTCTTTCTCAATTTTGGGCCTATCTTTTCCTTTTCGACCCACTAGATTACGCTTATCGCAAATTGATTTGGGTCCATAATGGGCTCGTTTAAATGATTTTTTATCAACATTTTTTAGATAATAAATTTAAATTATGGGAAATAATTTTCTCATTTTTACATGAGAGAATTATTTTCCCCAACTGACCCAATAAATAAGTGAGGCCCATACAAAAAAGAGAAGATAAAAAAATCAAAATAAGACCTGGACCTACCTTGAAATTGTGTGTGTAGAAAGAAAACATTTTCTCATATAAAATAAGAAAAATAATCCCCTTAAATTATATACTCAAAAGAGCGAATTAACGAAAGAAAGAGGTTGAAATGTTGGAAGGACATATGGTTCATGAATCTTAGGGATGCAAAGTCATTAAGCATGAGCATGAGATGCGATTATGTTCCATGAGAGTGTGTTTTATCCTCTCTTTACTTTTATTTTTGGCCCTCTTCCTCCTACTCATACCCTACGTTTTTATTTCTTTCTATTTCTTAATTTGTATGCTTATGTAGTAGTAGTACTACTCATATATAAATTAATATTACACTATAACATTCACCATGTTTTGATCAATGATTTTCCCAAATCGACAGATCGAAAATATATATAGAGCTTGATTTAACTAAATAGATGCACTCCTTTTTGTTGTACTTGTTAAACAATATCACATGTTAGCTCTCATGTCTCGTTATTATTTCCTCAACAACGGACAAGTAGATACCTTTGGATGAAGATTTATCTTATTTGGTCTTATGAAACACGAAACATGCTCAAGTATCAAAGAGAATAATTTTTTTTTTCTCGGAAATCATGATTCCCAAGAATATGGTAAAAAAGAGATTTTTGGGAATGTGATCAAAAATTTATTTGGTAGGCCAAAATATCAAGAAATTGGGTCAAATTTACCAAGTCTATGTTTGGTTGATTGTAAAATATTGTTGGGAATTTGATGCAATTTTACAAAAATAACCTCCTTTTCATTATTTTCTTAAAGCACGATGGGGTTTTTAGATTTTAAGATCTGGGTTTTCTTCACCCATCTTAGTCAAACACGATTTCCTTTGGAGTACATCAAGTTATTGTACATCTGGATAGTCATTTTAAAAACCAACAATTAGCAATTCCAATAAAAGTGTTTCAGCAATGAACGCTAAATGAACTGTGAATGCACCATTCTAAATTGATAATGAAAATTGGTGTGTATGGTTAGCTAGAGAAAATCCTAAGAAAAAGAATCAGAGTTGATAGTGAAAAATGGTGTGTATGGTTACCTAAAGAAAATCCTGAGAAAATGATGAACCAAATTGCTCTATGGAGGAGAAGAAGAAGAAGAGCAAAAAGGGGTTGTGGGGTATGGAGGCAAAGTGGGGTTGCTTGGTAAGTAGAAGAAGAAAGGGGAACCCAAGTGTGGTGGCTCAGTTGGTAGCATGAGAACTGAGTGGTGGGAGAGGACCTCGGTTCAAATCCCACCAACACCATATGGGGAGGGGCATAAGTACTGTAATCCTTGGACTCGCACCCGAACTCTGGATTAGTCCCATAAGAGACTCAAAGAGTCGAACCCGTGGGGATACCAGAGGGTTCTGATTCGCCTCAAAGAGGTAATTAGGATCAGTTTCAAAAAAAAAAAAAAAAAAGAAAGAAAGGGGAAGGTGCACTGAAGGACGAGGGGATGAGGAAGGAAGGAAGAGATGAAGGTTTGAAGGTGAAGGGAAAGAAATAGTAGAGGATGACACTGAGACTAAGAGAAGTATTCTTCTTCTTATTCACAATCACAGACTTATGTTGAGAGGAGTGAAGCAGGTGCTTTATGGTGGAGTAGTGGACCAATCATCATTCCTAGTACAATATAATATTATAAGAGGGTTATTTTAGTCAGCTTCTTCCCTTGCCATTTTCTATTTTTTCGATAATCTAAGAATACTACCCTCTGTTGGATGGTATTTTCAATCACAATTTGCTCGCAAAATAAAATCCCAGGAAAATCACATTCTCAGAAATTTTTTCATAAATCCTATATCAAACATGGATAAATAGGATTATACCATCCTCACTTTCTCGAAAATCTCAAATAAATACCCTAACAAACACCACCTTAAGAAATATGGAAATGGCGGGAAAGCAAGGAAGACAAAGAAAAAGAAGAACATCAACATATTCGAAGATGTGGTGAAATTCGAGTAATCCAATTCGGTCCTCATCTTCTCTGCATATTCGATTTGTCAATTTCATCTACCGAGTTGAAAAGTATCGTTTCTTTTCTTTTCTTTTTTGTACAATATGACAAATATCGTAACCTCTCTATTTTCAATCCTTGATTTTTGTGTACACAATATCTTTGCATTTTTCTTAGCCTCTCTATATAGGTATACCCAAAAAATGAAACTTACCTAACCTCTAACTTCCCCTGGATGGTTTATATTAAAGTTTAGGAATACCAAGTCCAACCAAAAACCTCTACTCTATTGCTTGCTCGCCCAATTATCAGCTACATGCATGATAAATGACCGACAGTAAAACCTAAATGATAATTATATGTTGCTCTATAGTATTAAAGGTGCGCTGAAAGCACTGCTTGAAATAAATTGATATTTAATTTAGCTGAATTTCATGTTTGAGATCATTGTAAACTTTCTAAAATTATAGAAATTCAATGATATACTCTCTCATAAGTGGTTCCATCCTACGATTTATAATTTAGTGCTACGTCTTTGGATCGACAAATTATAGCAACTTTCTTTTCATATATGGATAAATGATAATGGTCTCCAATAATTTTTTATTGTGTACTTTTTAAAAAATTTCATATTACATATTGTATCAGTCATTTAAATTTTTTTTTTTTAACTAAACATGTTTTAAGAAAATTATAAATAAAATTAATCATATCAATCTTAATGAATCTTATGATAGTAGTAACAGAATCATAAAGCAAATCATACACATATCTAATAGCACTAATATTTTATGGAGATAACTTTATCTCCTGCACTCACATGAAAGAAAGTGAGAGGAATATCCCCTAAATATAACAAATATATATAGATATATATATATAGATAAAGAGCTTATTTATTAGCCTTTAATTTGCTAATTATATTAGAAGAAAAAAGAATTAAAGATATTGTTTAAATTGGAATTTAGTCCAAAACACAATCAGATCTATGTGAATATATACAAATTATATTGTTGGGGATATGGGCTTGGTTTGAAAACCTTGCGACGCTTTCTAGACCACTGAATTAATGGAGAACAACATTTGTTGCTGCCCCTGCATTCAGCAACAAATAGAATGTTTGTTACCCACCCCAATTTACGTCAAAGACACTCAATTCACAGAGGAAACTTTTGAGTAAAAGTTATTGGAAAAAAAAAGTCCCTTTCTTGCCAATGTTGAATAATTAAGTGGAAACCAAGATATTATTTATCAGCAACTAAAAATAGTGACAAACAAACAAGAAGTTATGATATGATATATAATTAATAAATATCTTTGTTAGACTATTAAGGTCAAATGTATCTTGGGAATAGTAGCGAGAATATTTAGTAATGCAAAGTAGCATGCATGTTTAGACTGGATGGCTTTCTCATAGTAAACCACGTGTTTAGATGCATCAATGTTCGTAGAAGTTATGAAGGAGAAAAAGGGAATTGCATAAACGAAGTTTTATAGTTAGTTTAATTAAAAAGGTTGACTCAGAGTAAAAGTCCCCTACTTCCCGTATCCAACTTATATATATACAGAAAGAAAAAATTGTGTGTTTGTGTAGCATTTGTTGTTTGCATTGGATCCTTTGCCGTAGTGGGTTTCAAAGCTTCTCTTTCTCATATTTCTCGTAAGTCATAGCACACATGATATGAAGAAAGTCTGCGGTGCCCAAATTTGTTGGATTCCACAACTTGTCTAATTTTGATGATAAGAAATAAATAAAGCCAAATTATCTAACGATTTGTTTAATTTTTGACAAGTTGTTGCAGGACTTAATTTGTAATGAATTATGATGAACAGAATGCAACACAATTGTCATGAAATTGCGAAGATCGTAGATGCAAGATAAAATTTTAAATTTTATATAATGGTTGGATGAGGTGAATCATGTTCATGCCTTGAGTTAAAATCTTTAAAGTTTTGGAAAGAAGATTTAAAAAAATTATTTTTAATCTAAATAGATTTTTAAGATTTAGTTTTTGATTTGAAAAATAAAAAGTTAATTTTAGATTAATTTTCTTTTAAAAAGATTTGATTTGATTTTATCTATTTTTGAAAAGTTAATTTGATGATTTTGGTTTTATTTTCAAAAAGATATTTTGAAAAAATTTCTTTAAAATCATGATAATCTTTAGATTTTTTTTTAGGATTTGATTTTGAGAAAAAATCTATAAAAATCATACTAGGAGCTTTTCTCCAAAGTGGTTGTGACTCTCAAGAGAAAAAGATTTTTGAAAATTCAAGAAAAAATCCTTAAGAATAAAGGAATAGTTTACGTTCATATATAGGTACATCCACCATGCATCTTTTTTCTCTCCTCTCCAACCAAGCCTCCCATCACTCTCTATACCAACATTAGCATTGTTATATATCCACCTTATTTTAAATAAAATTTGGATCTCCTTCTTTAGTTTCTTTATCAATTTTGAACATTCTTTATTCTTAAATTTTTCTTGAACATTCTCTCCAAAACGATCATTTTGCTTCATGGGTGTGTCATTGAATTGTGCAGTTTTTCTTTCTGACAAAGATCTGAAAGGTAACATGGGAATCCACGAGAAGGAGTGCCAAACTTCAATCCAACAAGAACAGCACCAGGTTATTGGACTGAAACAACTATCAGTGCAACAACGTGACCAAGGAGAAGATAAAGATCATCAAGAGGAGCAAAAACAACAACACAATAACATTATTGTTGCAGTACCAGTGGCTCCTTCTTCGTACGTAGGATCAGAGAACGATGAATCAAACGATGGATTCAAGACACCAACATCTTCAGATCACAAGATTCCAAGGATCCTAGAATGTCCAGGTGCACCGAGGGTGCCAGCCACCAAACGAAAAGCATGTCACCGAAGAATTGTGCGTAATCGTTCCAAAGAGTTTGAATCTTTGTTCCCCACACCGTTAGATCTTGGTGATGGCGGTGAGAATAAGAAAGTCAAACAATGTTCTTTGTCTTAATCATTAATTGTTCTAGCTAGTTTATGAGAAATGTAATTTTCTTATGTCTTCTCTAGTAGTACATTGATTTGATAAATGAGTCCATTTTTTCTGCGGTTACTGCAGATAATTTTTTCTTTTTGCAGCAGACACAGAAAAAATAAAACTCATTTGTTTTTTTTTTCTAAGAAAGGATCCATCAGCATATCTTGACTTTTCTATGTGTCTGTAGAAATTTATTTTGTAGCAACAACAGAGTTATATTTCCCTTGATAAATATAAAGGTTACTCATACAGCTTTTAAATTTCTTTTTGAGATTTTATTTTATTTTTCCCATTATGTTTAACTTGTATGAGGGGATGGATGTTTTAGTACTATGTGTGATGGTGGTATTATAACTATGTATTTCGGAAAATAAATAATTATAATATTAAAGTTATTTTTTTTCTCTCTCCACGTTAGCCGACAAATTTTCAAAGAGAAAAAAAAATAACTTTAATATTATAACTATATACTCCCCAGAAAACAAAAAGTAGAATGTGATTTCCAGTAGTGACAATGTTGGAGCTTGATTTAACTAAATAAATGCACTCCTTCCTGTTGTACTTTTTAAACAATATCACATGTAGAGAAGTTAACTAGCCGAGCCGAGCTTTGGTCTTAAAAAGTTAAGTGTATGTTTAAATATGTCAGCCAGATTTAGCATATTACCTATTATGAATATAATTATCGGCTTGTGACATGATTTATTTACAAAAAATAAAAGTCTGGTTTAGCCTAATTAAAAAAACACAACAAAAATTTATCCAAACAAAATATACAATCAACATTACTAATAATTCCACAAAGATTCATAAATTTAATGTATCCAAACAACAAAATCATTTAAAAAGTCTGTTTAACAAATAAAGTAGAGTAAAATGTGTTGAGGAAATAAAAAAAATAAAAGTTAGTATACAAGGTCAGTCCGAGAGGCTCTAAGGCTAGGCTTTTAAATTGGAGCCTGAAACTTTTTTATTAAACGAGCTTTTATACAAGTTCAAGCTTAGTTCAACAACCAATTTTAGACATGTAAGTTCAAGTTTTCGCGAGTCAGGCCTGAAAAAGGTCACTGGTTTGTTTAGCACTCCTAATCACATGTTAGCTCTCATGTCTCATTATATTTCCTCAACTACAGACAAGAAGATACCTTCGGATGAAGATTTATCTTATTTGGTCCTATGAAACATGAAACATGCTCAATCATCAAAGAAATTACTTAAGAAATATGGAAATGGCGGGAAAGCAAGGAAGACAAAGAAAAAGAAGAACATCATCATATTTGAAGATGTGGTGAAATTCAAGTAATCCAATTGGGTCCTCCTCTTCTCTGCATATTCGATTTGTCAATTTCATCTACCGAGTTGAAAAGTATCATTTTTTTTTGTACAATATGACAAATATCGTAACCTCTCTATTTTTTTTTTTTTTTTTTGTTGGTATTCAACCTCTCTATTTTCAATCCTTATTTTTTTGTGTACACAATATCTTAGCATTTTTCTTAACCTCTCTATATAGGGATACCCCAAGAAACGAAACTTACCTAACCTCTAAGTTCCCCTGGATGGTTCATATTAAAGTTTATGAATCTCAAGTCCAACCAAAAACCTCTAGGGGGTGTTTGGTTGAGGGTATATTTTTATTATCCCATGCATTTGGTTGAGAGATTCTTAGACATCCATGTTTGGTGAAGGTTTTTCAAAAATTTCCCCATCTAACTTATTTCCCTAGCATTTGAAGAATGTGTGTAAAATGAGAAATGTTTCACTATTTAGAATGACAATTTCAATGGTGGTTTTTGTAATTGCATGGGTAAATGGCAAGAGGGACATCATGATAGAGACCACAATACCCCAACTAAAGAACATATATTGACATTCAAAAATTATAAATGGATTAATTTGGTAATTTTAACCCATTTACCTATTTATATTTTATCTCAAACCAAACATAGATTTTATAAATCTTACCTAATTTTCCTGGTAAAGTTTTTTCTAACCAAACAACTTTTTTGACAGTTTCCTACCAAACTCACTTTCCAACCATTCCCTATCAATTACATTTTCTTAGTATTCAAAAATTTTCTCCTCAACCAATCGCCCCTTGCTTGCTTGCCCAATTATCAGCTACATGAGAAATGGGCAATAGTATGAGAAATGGCCAGTAGTAGGTCCTAGATGATAATTATGTTGCTCTATAGTATTAAAGGTGCACTGAAAGCAGTGCTTAAAATAAATTGATATTTAATTTAGGAATTTCATGTTTGAGATCATTGTAAACTTTCTAAAATTAAAGAAATTCAATGATATATTCTCTCATAAGTGGTTCCATCCTTCGGTTAATTATTTAGTGCTACTTTGGACTAATAAATTATAGCAACTTTCTTTTAATATATTGATAAATGATAGTGGCCTCTCATAATTTTTGGTAGTGTACTTTTTTAAAAATTTCATATTACATATTATATCAGTCATTTAAAAAAAAAAAAATTAACTTTACATGTTTTAGGAAAATTATAAATACAATTAATTGTACCAATCTTAATGAATCTTATGATATATAGTAGTAACATAATCGTAAAGCAAATCATATGCCTATCTAATAGCATTTCACAATAGACACAGATTTTTTCTATACATATAGTAACAATAAATTCAATAGAATTAATGTTTCTCATTTAATATAGAGATATGCACTCACATGAAAGTAGGTAGGAGAAATATTATTCCCTAAATATAACAAATATATATATAGATAAAGAGCTTATCTATTAATAGCCTAAAATTTGTTAATTATTTTAGAAGAAAAAAGAATTAAAGCTATTGTTTAATTTGTAATTTAGTCCAAAACACAATCAGATCTATGTGAGTATATACAATTATATTGTTACAGAAATGGGCTTGGTCTGAAAATCTTGCGACACATTCTAGACCACTGAATTAATGGAGAACAACATTTGTTGCTGCCCCTGCATTCAGCAACAAACAGAATGTCTGCTACCCACCCCCAATTTATGTCAAAGTCACTCACAGGTCACGGAGGAAACTTCGAGTAAAAGTTATTGGAGAAAAAAAAATGCCCCTTTCTTGCTAGTGTTGAATAAGTGGAAACCATGATATTTACCAGAAACTATAAAAATAGTGACAAACAAACAAGAACTTATGATATGAGATATAATTAACAAGGGGTTTGCATTTGTCATATTTAACATGACACAATAAATTTTTCTATGTATATAACATTTTGTGAGGTCCATACTTTTTGAAGAAAAAAAGAAAAAAAAAATTACGATACTCAAAACGAATTTCTATAACATTACACAATCACTTTTTCTACAAATCGTAACTCTTATAAAACTCAATCAATTAATTCGACAGTTAAGGTCAAATGTATCTTGGGAATAGTAGCAAAAATATTTAATAATGCAAAGTAGCATGAACGTTAAGACTGGATGGCTTTCTCGTAGTAAACCACGTGCACAGTGACAGATGCATCAAAGTTCGTAGAAGTTAGAGGAGAAAAAGGCAATTGCATAAAACGAAGTTTTATATAAGTTAGTTTTAAATGGCTGACTCAGAGAGTAAAAGTCCTTTACTTTCCCCTATCCAGCTTATATATAGAAAGAAAGAAAAAATTGTGCGTTTGTGTAGCATTTGTTGTTTGCATTGGATACTTCGCCGTAGTGGGTTTCAAAGCATCTCTCTCACAAGTCATAATAGCACAAATTACATGAAGAAAGTCTGCAGTGCCTAAAACCAAACAAGGTTGAGAAAATCCTTTAAGATAAAAGAATAGTTTATATGTTCATATATAGGTACACAGAATTTCATCCACCAAGCATCGTTTTTCTCTCCTCTCTAATCAAGCCTCCCATCACTCTCTATACCAATATTAGTATTGTTATATATCCACCTCATTTTAAATAAAATTTGGATTTCCTTCTTTACCTTCTTTATCAATCTTGAACATTCTTTATTCTTAATTTTTCTTGAACATTCTCTCCTACAACAATTGTTTTGATTCATGGGTGTGTCGTCGAATTGTGCAGCCTTTCTCTCTGACAAAGATTTGAAAGTCAAAATGGGAATCCACGAGAAGGAGTGCCAAACTTCAATACAACAAGAACAGCACGAGATTGTTAAACAACTATCAGTGCAAGAGCGGGACCAAAGAGAAGATAAAGATCATCAAGAGGAGCAAAAACAACAACAAAATAACATTATTGTTGCAGTACCCGTGGCTCCGTCTTCGTACGTGGGATCAGAGAACTATGGATTCAAGACACCAACATCTTCAGATCACAAGATTCCAATGATCCTAGAATGCCCAGGTGCACCGAGGAAGCCAGCCACAAAAGTGATGAAACGTAAAGCATGTAACCCAAGAATTGTGCGTAATCTTTCCAAAGAGTTTGAATCACGCCGTTACTGGTAGATCATGGTGTTGTCGGTGAGAATAAGAAAGTCAAACAATGTTCTTTTTAATTGTTACCTTTAGCTAGTTTCTGAGAAACTTAATTCTCTTATGTCTTCTCTAATTGTACATTGATTTGATAAATATAAAGGTTATCATCCAGCTTTAAAATTTCTTTTGTGCTTTCTTTTTGTGATTTTATTTTATTTTTCCCGTTCATGTTTGACTTGCATGAGGGGATGGATGTTTTGGAGATACAACTTAATTTGCATAACTCATTTGAAAACAAACCCTTCCTACATACGTCATAAAAAAGTGTACCACTCATATTTTGTTTTTTATCCCACACTTAATGTATTTATGACATAAGATTAGAATTTTCCTTCATTTTTCCCTAATAAGATTTGAAGACGAAAACGAAAACGAAAAAGTAGAACGTGATTTGCAGTGGCAGTGTTGGGGCCTAGATTTCGCATTCTCTTCTTGTGGGATCATATCTCATTGACTTTGTTTTCAGAAACAAAAATCATTAGAAAATAAAAATGGGATACATCAAACATTGACTTTCCCAAGAAAAGCAAAATATCCATCTTGAGTGCGCAAACCCATGCGCAAACCCATGTGGGCTACGGTATTCTTATTCGAAAAATTGCTAATTACACAAGTTAAGCAGAACATTTTCCATTTATTACAACAGTTTATTATAATTTTGTACTACTCATAATATATAATTATAAAAATAAAATTATTTTTTCTCATTTCGTGATATCAGACGATAATATTTGAAGATAAAAAACAATTTATTATTATAATTATATACTATGTGTGATACATTATTATATTATGACTGTTCTATTGAATACTCGATGCAACGGTTGTATCTTAAATTTTGAGTAAATATCATTTTTGGTTCCTAACAAAAAATACGATCCCTACTTTAGTTTCTTATAAAAAAAAATTAGTCTCGAGGTCCTTAACAAATTCAAAATGGACCTATTTAGTTAAAATCGTGGTCCCTTACGAATTTAAAAAAGATCCATATTAGTCCCTCAAAAAGAGCTAAAAAGAGTCCACTTTGACTTTGTTAGGAACCAACCGAGTAAAATGGGTATTTACTCTAAATTTTTTCTCAACATTCAGACACTCTAGCTTCTCACATTTGTTCTTCGATTTCGAATACTGGAATTACAGTATAAGCCTTAATTGTGTAACCGTATTCTTGTATTTTGTGTTTTCATAAAGAGGATGTTTTTCAATTCAAACATGTGACCTCATTGTTATAAAGTGTCAGTTATACCACTGCTTCAAGTTTACTTTTTTATTTTATTATAAAATTTAATAAATCATTTATTATTTATTAAAAAAATATTAAACTTTTAAATAAAATAATGGGTCAACGCAGGTAAGTAACTGTCTTTTATTATAGCTATACTATCTCTGTTTGAAAATCTTAGTCATTTAAAGTAATGTATCCAAAAAAGAAAAAAAGTTATGTATAAAATTTAAGAAAGTTATTAAATAATTTTAATTTAAAAATATAAAAATAGAACTACATTTAATTAAATCATCTTATGACTTAATGATCTCTTCTATTTCACTTATTGAAAATATCAAAAGATAATTAATATTTTTTTAGTTTCCAAAAATAAGAAATAAACGAATTTATTTTTTCAAATGAATGATATTTTAAAGCAAAATAAACATTCAGCTAATTTAAACAAAACAAAAAATCAGTACCTCAAAAAGTATTTTTCATTCCCCTTGAAATTATTTTAATTGCAGTGGCCTCAATCTGATTTTTTGTAACTTCCTTCATGATTTGCACGTTATCAATCGGCTCCTCAGTGTTGTATAACTGCTCGTTATTAATTTTCTCCCATGCTAGCTAGCTTGTAATGAGTTTCCGTTTCAATCAGAATATATTGGCATCCCTTTTCTTCCGTTGTTCTCCATGCTTGATATTTGAGTTTCATGCACACATTCAAGATAGAGTATCATTATTGTGATTTTCCTTACTCATTATGGGTGTAACGTCTGCAATCATTGGGACATTATTGCTGATTGCTCCAACGGTAACATCCTCCGCTGATGGACTTAGGGACCAAGGGTGGTATGTTTACATGCTGCAGAAGGAGTTATCCAACACCTTGGAGCAAGAGGAACTCTTGTGGTATCAAAAATCTATGGAAAGGTGGATCGTGGATGGTGAGTGATAAGAACACAAGATTCTACCACCTAAAGACGATTATTCGCAGAAGCACAAACAAGATTACAAAATTAAAAAAATAAGGCGTAAGCATTGATTAAAGATGCAAAGGAGTTATAGCAGCTGGCAAAAGACTGCTATATAAAGTTGTTCCATGATGAATAGCCTAACCGAGCTTGGATTTCCACGAATGGATGCTGGCCTCCACTACCGCCTAGCCAAACTTACCATATCCATCGAATTCCTTCAACAAAGAAGTGCAACAAGCCATTTTTTATATGGATTCATTTAAAGCACCGGGAGCATATGGATTTCAAGCCTATATCTTCCAACAGAACTGGAAGAGAATCCAAGAGCAAGTATGCCAAGAGATCAAACAATTATGTCAGACATACGAAAAATAAATAGCACCCTTCTTGTCCTGATCCCAAAGGTTTCAACTTCAGTCTACATGAGCCACCTGAGACCAATCTCCTTATGTGGTGTTCTATACAAAGTGTTGAGCAAAATAATAGTCGAATAGACTAAAACTAGTCATGGAAAAGATAATCTCTCCATGTCAGGTAGGATTTGTCCCTAGAAGTCACATACAAGATACTATTGGTATTGCACAAGAACTCGTCCATACCATGCATCGGATGAGAGGAAGGAGAGGAATCATGGTAATAAAATGGATATAGAAAAAGAATATATTCGGATTAACTGCGGGTTCCTGCATGTGGTGCTGAATGAAATCAAGCTGCTTGTCCAACTAACGAAGGTCATTATGGGTGTTGTCTCTTCATCAAGCATAAGTCTTCTCTGGAATGGCGAGCAAACCACCTCCTTCCAACCGTCAAGGGGAGTTAGACAAGGGGATCCTTTATCTCCGTACCTTTTCGTTTGTGAATGGAAAAACTCTCACTTGATTTCACAGGAAGTTAATACGAGAGAGTGGAAGCCCATAAGAGTGGAAAGAGGTGGTACTCAGATTTTGCATCTCATCTTCGCAGATGATCTAATTGTTGGGATAAATTTTAAATGTCCGTTTTTTAGCAGTTTTGCCTTTTTAGTTTCTTGTGTCAGTTAGAATATTAATTAGTCAGTTATGTCAGTTAGAATATTAATGAGTCAGTTATAAAGTAATGAGGGTGTTATGTGTGGAGTTATGTTTGTCAGTTTTATAACTTATAAATAGCCTTTGATAGTTTGTAGATCAAGTAGATCAAGAGAAAAAGGAAAAGAGCAAGCAAGAATAGACAAGAAAAGTTTTTTTGTAGATACACAAGTCTGGTTGTCTCTTGCATCTGTGTAGATATCCAAATTCTAACAAATTGGTATCAGAGCTATGGAGAAAAAGAGCGAGTAGGAGGTGCCACTCTTCCATGGAGATAAGGATGAAGCATTAGATTGGCTTCTCTGTTTGAAGGAACATTTTCGGAAAGAAAAAATCTGGACGGAGAACAAATGGCAGGTAGCCATGAGAAGACTCAGAGGAAGCGCAATCAAATGGTTCCGTACATGGAACTGCCGCGACTTTAATAATATGTGGAAGGATTTTCTAATGGCCGTCGTAACAAAATACTTGCCTGGACGTTTTGATCTGATTAATGAAGAAGATGAAATCTTCAATGATGATGATGAAGATGATGAGAATGATGCGGATGAAGAAGAGACCGAGATGGTGGAATCCGAGGTTGCCAACGGCAACGCATCCGCGAAGGAGATTGACGTGTCAGAACGCGTAAGAGACGACTCGGAGAAGAAGATGATGGAGATGACTGCGGCCGAAGGAGCCGAGATAGAAGAGGAGGAGAGAACAAGGGAGCCGAGATAGAAGAGGAGGAGAACAAGGGAGCCGAGATAGAAGATGAGGAGAACGAAGGAGCCGAGATCGAAGCGGAGAAGGACGGGAACGACGAGTCCATTGTCGAGGTAGAAGACTTCGTGGAACCTGAGTGTCTGGAGACAGAGTCGAAAATCGGAAAGGAGATTGAGAAGCTGAGGTGCTTGATGGAGACCGGCATGGAGGAGACCGCGAATCCGAGTTCTGTGTTGATAACCGGGTTGGGGGAGATCCCGGCTGAATCACCGAGTACATGTTTTGGAGAAGAGCTCGACCCGGGCGTGATGAGATTGATGTCGGAGACCGACATAGGCGCGGTTCAGGTTGGAAGTCAGAAGTCAGAGACTACATTGAATTTATGGTGGAAGTGGAAGATGTCGACACCACCGAAAATAGACCATTTCCCTGGAGGACGGTGGTCTGAGATTCCGTTGATGAGGCGCGTGGAAGCTGGACTCGATGAAGAAGAACCCGGCGATGAAGAAACTGAGAGCGAAAAAATGGAAGGTGCATTTGAAGAAAAGGGTGTGGTCTTGAAGAGAAAAGGAGGTTTTGTTGACAATACCAATGATGCAGAAATTAGGATTGGACGAGAAAATAAAATTGTGAAAGCAACTGATGAAGTGGCGAATGAAACTAAGAAGAATTTGGGTGACGAGAAACTTGCAGGTGAAGAAGATACAGCGAATGGAAACAAGGAAAGTCCTGCTAATGAAACTGAAAATATCAAATTGAAGAAGCCACCGGATAAAATAAAATATGTTCAGAAAAATAATTGCAGAGGAGATATTTTTTTTTTTGAGTTAATTAAGTTGGAAGGTGTTAGATGTTTTTTGCCAGTGATCAAGATTGAAGAAAACAGGCGCGATCAGAAAGTTGAAGAAAAGCAGAAGCAACTCGAAGAAAGAAAGAAGAATTTAAAATTTATGGGGGAGTTTTGTTGGGATAAATTTTAAATGTCCGTTTTTTAGCAGTTTTGGCTTTTTAGTT